TTTGCACTTGAAAGAGATGAGTAATACTTGGAACAAAAGTTGAAACAAAGTGGCTTTAAAGACAAAGAATCAATATAATTTAAATAATAATGAAAAATACCCTATATATATATTCCTTATTTTTTTATTGTTTATATTTAAATATGAAAAAAATGAAGAAAAAAAACAACTGAACAAAAATAATTATAAAGGTCCTAAATTTACTTCAGGGTATTCAAGGTTTACACATCTTGACTTTGTATTCATAGAAAACTTGAGTCATGATCAAGTCTTCATTTAATTCACCTATTTATAGCCAAAATCTGTGATGAATGCTGATAATCTAATCATAAAGAAATATTTAAATAATACCAGGAGAAAGTCTGTGTCAGCAAGTGTCTAACACTTTATGAAATTTTAGGTTAATGCTGACTATATTATGAGTCATAAACAATACAGTGAAACTCATCCTTGGCATTTTTGATTGAATTAATATAGTAATGGTTTTGTGTAGTTACTTATGGATACTCACAGTTAAATATTTTAATATGATAACACAATATGGATTGTCAAGGTCAAGAATAAATATTAGGTAATCCAGAAATTAAAAAATGAAATGAGTTCCATTCTACTAGTTTTCAGAGTTGTTACCTACTAAAGCAGTATTGTTTTAATGGAGTGAACATACATGTAAAGGATTTATTCCTTGTGTGTTAATTAACTGGTTAATGACAACTAGTGACTCTGTAGTTTAAGAATAAATTATACTATATTTGTTGACTGTCTTTATTATGATTCTTCAACATACATAAATTTTCATGCAAGACAATCAATATCTGCTTAAGTTTTTGAGAAACACAATTGTCCTTGTGCACGCATATTTATTGGTATTAGAATTATAGTGGAGAAAAAAAATCTGTAAAATAACTTTGGAGCTTAATGGCTCATATTTACAGATAGTGTTACCCATGGAATTAAGTGCTGGAGTACATAAATTGTGGTTCTTGTACTGCAAACAGAATCATGGATATAAATTCATCAGATATAATGCTGAAAATATCAGTAATTTTTAGAGTCAACAAAAATGCAGCAGTAACAGCACTGGTTATAAATCTAAATACAAGTTTGTGTCAATATTTTATCACCTTTTCTACTGTTTGTCAGAAATGTCTCTTTACTATTTTAGATCTATACCCTACTTCATATTATAAAGCAGTGTTAGAATCCTTAGGCAAGCTTAGAAAATTAGCTGCTGAAGTAGTTTTGAAATTGATGTTTCCTAACAGACCTTCCACAACAGAGAGACTTGTAAATACTGATGAATGTACAAAAGGACACACTAAGACAGAATACAGCAGACTTCCAATTCCCTCTTCTTTCATTAGAGTGCATTAGGACATCTTTTTCTATTTAAAAAATGAAATACTCTATTTTTTTTCTTTTCTGAGTATTTACTAAAGATAAATTGTTCTGCCTTGAGTTTTGATAATGTCTTCTGCTTTAAGTTATGGTGCATGTCTGTATTATATAATTAAACATGCTAAACAAACATTCTGTGCATAGCCGGACAATAAAGGAAAGTCAAAATTCATAATAATGATAATAAATAAAATATTATTAATTAATAATAAAGAATAATAAAAATAATAATAAAAATCCAAAATAATTAGGATCATGAAAGTAGAGAACTTTCACAATGGGTCTGAGGATATGAAAATATCTGGAAAACACAGAGATTTGTATGGAATTTGGAACCCCTAGAGAGGTGGATGATAATATAGAAAACTAATAAGAGAGGATATGAACTTCCATCAGGTTGCACTAAGTATGCTGCATACATAACATCAATGTGAAAAAGCTTTATATTTTTTAAAAAGATAAAATTTAAATTCTTGCTTGCCCTCCAGATCTTCTATTTCTTCAGCCAAAATAGATCTGATAGATCACACGTCCCAGTATAATGGCAGTGGCTTCAGAATTGCAACTCAGGTGGCATTGATCTCTATTGCGGCACAGCTAATGCATGTGAAACCTTATCAAAGGACAGGAAGCAAAACTTGAGATGTTAGGTATTTGTTGATTGCCCTTGTTATTTTAATAGCCCTGAGTTTTCTTCAAGTGCTTTTTGTAACAGAAGACAATGTCTAGAGTGGGGAGAATTTTTCAATATCGAAATTTAAAAAAAAAATAAAAAGCTGAAGCTTGTGATTTAGAAGTAAAACTAAATTGGAGTGTTTAACTTTCTTTTGGCAAGGACTTTTGACTTAAAAAAAAAAAAACGAAACTACAAGATTACATGCATACATCTCAGCATGAAGCTGAGTCAGGAGGTTTAAGTTAGGTATTAGGAAAAGTATTTTCACCCATGGGGTGTTTGGGCACTGGAACAGGCTCCCCAGGGAAGCGGTCACAGCACCAGCCTGACAGTGTTCAAGTAGTGTTAGGATAACACTCTCAGGCACACGGTGTGACTCTGAGTGTGTCCTGAACATGGCTAGGAGTGGGACTTGATGATCCTGATGGGTCCCTTCCAAGTCATTATATTCCATGATTCAATGATTCTATGATGGCAATATCCTGTTAATACTATAAATTAACAGTGTTAAAAATTGGAATGTTTATGTAATTAAAGCTTTTTTCCAGCTAGTGTTTTTTTCTAGATAAATTTTCACTGGTACCCAAAGACAAGATTATAACTACAAATCCTCTGAGAAAAAACAAACAATTAAACAAACAAACAAAACCAACCAACCAACCAAACCACACCACCCCCCCCCCAAAAAAAAACTAAGCAAACAAAACACAAGCAAACAAACAAACAAACAAAAATCCAACAGCTAACTCCAAATATTAACTTCAGCTTTTTTTTACCTCTACAATGATAATTGCAAAATATGCAGCCAGTGCATTTTTGTGCTCTGAGCTGTTCTGCTCTCCAAAAAGTAAGGGGAGAACTATATTATTTACAGGAACCTATTTGTAATGATTAATGACTAGGTCTGGCTAAATAAGGCTTCAGGCTTTCCTTGGAAATTATGGTCATATTGTGCCAGCTCTTTCCTGGAGAAGCCTGCTGGGAGTTAAAGTAGAAGAGCCACTGGTTAACTCTTTTACACCAAAGGATTTTTTACATGGGTATTTTACATCTTTTCCTCTCTGTCCTTGTTTGACAAATTATTGTACATGTTCTCAATTACCCTTAGCTATACTTCAACCCCTGCAAAATTTTAGAGTATATTTTTCATGACGGTGTTAAATACATGCAGGCAGTCTTTCACCACCTTAATTACATTCACTAATTGCAATCCACACATGTCTTCAATCACAATTTCTGCACTGTCTCTTCTCTCTTCCTATTATCTTCCTCCTTCATCTTTCTAAAGTTGAAAACTAACTTGCCTCTTCATATTATCCTTTATTACTCTTTTCTGTGTCTTGTGTCATCCTGCCTACTTTCTCTTTGCTACTGTTGTTATCATCCACATAACCCTGAAATAATTTACATGTTTCTCTTAGAAATATTCTCCAGAGGATGTTTAGACAATTCTGCCTATTTATGACATCTTCATTACTACCAAGTCTTGTAATTATGTGGAATTCCAAGTCAAAGTACATAACTTAGACAACTAGGAACTCACTAATGAGATTATGTTTAAGTAAAAGTACAGAGACACTTTAGGAAGACTAAATTTGGTTATTAGGAGAAGAAAAAAGGAAGCTAGGGTCATACATTTTGTACTTCTTTTTTTTTTTTTCCCCAAATGTTGAAACTACAGCTATTTGGTCTAGTCTATCAGCATGTTCCCATAGAAAGAAAGAAAACTTTTAATAAATGACTTTTTGGTGAAACAAAAACATTAAGAAAACTTGTTTCCAGCTAACGTATATATAAATATAAATATTCCACCTTTTATTCTCTTTTCTCTTTTCCATTTTAATTTATTCCTATTTTGTTTCTACTTATCTCTTTTATTTTTCCTATTATTTGTCTCCCTCTCAAAACAAAGCCTCACCAAAAGCAAACCACAAAAACCAGAAGTACTTCAGTCTTTATTCTCAGAGAAGTGAAAATGTCTTAAGGGAATTATCATTCTTGTCATGCCATGTTAAGAAAAATCTGAAAGATTTGTTATCTGTAGGATTTCTGACATTCTTCTGGCAGGTGTGAAAAGAGAACAAAGCTGTTTCTAGTTTAAGAAAAAGATGTTCCAATAGCAAAGGAAAATCACAGTTGCTTCACTGGGCCACCAGTCGTTGAGCCACTGTCCATAATCTATCAACTCCTGAATGCTGGAGCGCAGTTGGGTTCATTTAAAAGGGAAGAAAGTAGTCACAACACCCATCCACAACATTGCATCCTGGTAAGGGGGTGGATACTACAAGGTGAGGCTGGCTTTCACCCTAGACTGACCAGAACCCTGGGCCCTATCAGTGACTTATTCTACTCAGGTACAAAAGGCCCATTTTGCAAAGTGTTTGGCTTTCCCATATGTAACTTTGGGATAGATCAGGAGGGCACCGACATAACTGGACTCAAATTGTGCCACAGTCCCAGTTCTAGGTGTCAGCCAACTAGAACCAGTTTTCTCAACATTGGTGTTGGCTGCTGAGCAGAAAAGAAAGATTAAAGTTCCCAAGGGCACCCATACCAGGCTGTTTCATAGATGTGGTGAAAGCAGGTTCTCCCCTTCCCCAGCATGACAGATTACAGTACCCAAATCCTCTCCCCCTGATGTGGCAGGAACTCTTGACTCCTTCTTCAGTCAGTGAAGGCTAGTGAGACAGACATTTCCACAGGGCATCTCAGTCATCTTTCTTTGGCACTCCTCTCCCTCACATTACATAACCCAGCCTCATTAAAGCCTCTCTCTGCCGGAATGTCTTTGGCAGCTCAGCCTTTTTGTGCAGCCCCTGCAGCTGTGGCCTCTATGTCACAGTGAGAAGGAAAGCATAAGGGATATTCATCAGATGATGAATCATCCTATTCACAGTTCTTATTCAATCAGTCATCCCTGGAAGTGGTCAACAAAAGAAAGAGTCTATGTCTGCTCTCCTTACAGGAATCTTTGCTCCTGAGAGTCAGAAGGCTGTGGAGAGGCTGTTGTACAAGCAACAGAGCAGTTCATTGTGTCTTCACAGATCTTTAAGACTTTTCATCTCTCCACATATTTTTCTGGTGATAAAGGAAGGGCTGCACTGCTCTTCCCATCCAATCTCCTCCCTGCTGTAGGAGACATGGAAAGCTAAGATAGGCAGGCCATCCACACTCTGACTTCCCTTGCACCCAGAAGTAAGAAGGTAAAGACAAAAAATGCACTAAGATAAGGCAAAACTAAAATGAATGTTGAGCAAAGCAGAAAACAATATTTCAGGTTTCTGTTGGGCTAGTGAATTGTCCAGATGAGAAAATGTCAGATGAGTATGTGTGTATGCATGAAAGAGTCACTAGAGCCAGCTGGTTACTCAGCTCTGCTGGACAATTCTGTGCTGGCCTGCTGTGAAAAATTATTTCTTCTCCATACACTCCTGCCACATCTTCCTTCAGAACTGCCAAGGGCATTGCAAAGGACTGTTTTAGCCCTCCCACAGAAGTATGGTGTATAAAGTTCCTGCAGTTGTTCTGATCACAATTTGGTTGGCTATGAATCATTGGTGCTTGCAATGCATTGACACAAGTTTAGAATTACCAATGGCCATACCAGCTCTGGTGGATATGTCATGAGCTTCCTTTCGGTCTCTGCTTACAGTTTCCATGCTGAGAGGTGGAGCTGAAGAATCTCCCTTGATAGTCTGTGAACCTGCAACCATAGAACAGCAATATTTGAGGTAGGCCCAAGCTGTCAGTGTGAATCAACAATGTCCACATCATATCAAGTGGTCTGTGTGATATTGCACACCCCAGCAGTCACTTAACAGGGGGGGATGAGTTGGTAAATCTTCAGCTGTCAGACGATATCTACATTCTTCTCTGTTGTTATTTATGCCTGAAACTTAATGTAACAGTGGGCATACAACTTTTTGTAGGGGATTTTAAATTAAGTCCACAGTGCATAGAATATTTTATTTTATTACTGGTCATTCTAAACCAACAAGACAATAGAGTTTCAACAGTAATGCTTCACATAACAATATCTTTTAAATATCTTATAATTGTTGTAAGGTTGCCCTAGTAAAACTGTTTTCTCTTAACTCAAACTCCAAACCATCAATTTTAGCTTTTGACCCCATGCTTAAGTTTGACCTGGCAAAATTGCTTGTGTTATGCTTTATGGTCCCATGAAAGCTCTATCATATACTTTGCATTCTTGTTTCTTTCTCCTGATATTCATGCACAGTATATGGAGGACATGTGCTAAACAACTGTGAACATCAAACTGTTGATCATACTTAAAATTTTCTCAGCTATTCTGGTGCTAACTGTTCATTGCACCAGTTTTATGCTGCTTTGGCACCACTTGGAGCTACAATTGATACTCTTAGGCTTGGCCGTTTTTTTTTTTTTTTCAGTTGAATAAGTTCAGGCGAGGGATAAAACCCTGTAGTAATTTTAAAATTTCAGAAACTGAATCAATACAATACATGGGGAAATAATTCAATCTGTCCCTTGTTGATTTGTTTTCTTAATCCATCAGAAAAACTAAATTATAAATAATATTGCAGTTATTCTGAATCAGCTAAGTGGTATGAGATGTTGCCAACAAAGTTAATCCTCAGGGCCAACAATCACTCCTGTACCTGCTATTGTTTTCATTGTTGTAGAAACACTGCAGAACTTTTTAGCATTAGAAAATCTTTATTGCCAAGAAATAAAACAATAACAACAAAAATCAGCTACAGTCCTGTCAGAAATGGCTGTCATACAAATGATAGAGGGTTCTTGAACGTCAGATGGGGCTGACAAGGGAGGTTTTAACAAAAGGATGGGTTCAAACTGCCTGAGTAGCAGAAACGTCCCAACATGCTTACACAATCTGTAGGGAAAAGAAAAAAGGTTGTAAATTATTACTGAAATCACCTTTCCTGCATTCAAAATTTCCCAGGTGTGAATGAAATATATTTACAAAGCCCAGTTTAGAAAGGAGAAACTTTTATTTTTCATGTTCAAATGTATTATTCTTCACAAGAGTAGACTTTTACTAACTGTATGAATAAGAAATACTTTCATCATGAGAAATATGTTTCCAATAATGAATGACAGTATTTGAGCTTCTAAGAATTCAGAGTTAAAAACCCTAGATGTTCTGAAGTTGCTATAAATGTAAATATAGCAATTTGGCCCCAACACATTATAATGGATTTTTGCATATGCTGGTTAAGAGCTGCACAACATGAAGTATTCATACAGGCAATTATAACAGTAGTGAAGAATGGGTGGAAAGACCAGAACAGATAACACAGAATATTTCATTTAATGAGCAGTAGTGTTCTGTAGCAGCTTATTTGTGATGACTGACTTGATTTTTTTTAAAGCACCTTATTTTACATTTCAAAAATATTTCCAGCATTAACCCGTTCTTGATTACCGCTGCTTTTTCTTATTTGTAGGATGTGTATTTATGTGAATACACATGAATATATGTCCACACACATACAAAATTAAAGCTCACTGCCTTTTTGACTTGTAGAATGTTATTAAAAAAGCCATCATGCATTTTTTTTTAAAGTAAGATCTGCCAAGATATCTTTTCAGAAGCAGATATATAGCAATCAGAATAGATTCATAAAGTTGAAACCTGGACATACATCATTGTAGCTCATTTGTCAGGTAGAAAATGGAACTTTCAGCTCAGAAACATAGGCATCTTTCCTTGAGTAAAAGTGTAAGTACTGGGACTGTAATCCTGTGTCCCAAGTCATTTACTCTAATTCATATTCATTGCTATGGAGTCATGACATCATAATGTAAGACCTGAGTGCCAAGAGGATTATGTGTCCCTAAGTGTAAATCTCTTTCACAGAGCTTTTCTATTGTCATTAAATACAAATCAGCACATTCTTCATGCAAAATCTTTTAGCAGCATTCTGCAAGACAGGGAATTTTTCAATTTATTCTTAGACTTGTATTTCGTATAGGAAAATAATCGAATTAAAACCAATTTTGGTATATGTGCAGTATTGCTGTATCATTTGAAATGGCATAAAGTCATTCCACAATATAGAAAATTATTTCAGCACATGAATGAAAACCATTAAATTGTTCTTCCTAAAAAATTTTGAACTCTGAAACCTATGTTCAATTTAAAACAGAGTAAAGATATTTTGAAATTTGTGCTTATTATTAAATGATAAATTGCACAGAACATGAATACTAAATTAATTCTGGCTCAGAACATAGCATTTGTTTTCTGACTGTTTTTTTAAAAACATATTTTAGTGTAGTCATAATCAAATAAAATCAAGGAAAGGAAGGATAAGTGTCAGGTGGTCCTAGTACAAGGATAATTCCTCTGTATGCTGCTGTTGTATCTCTGGAGGCTGCAGACTATTAAACTGCACTGATTGTACCTGATACCCTAATGCATTATTCATGAAATTGGCACCACAGCATCTTCAAACAGTCTGTCATTTTCCATTACTTTCCATCAAAGCAACCATATGCTGTTCTTACAGTATTTTGATACCAGGGCATATACAAAGCAGACAGTCACATGGAAGTGCTATCTGCTTTCTCATGACTTTTTCAAATTGTTATTATTAACCACCTCTTTTAATGGCCAGTTTGATTATTCAGTGCTTAAACTAGGAAACTTCAATGAGGAGAAAGATTGATGATTGCTCTTTCTATGCTGAAAATTATTCAGTTCTCATAAACAGTTTGCCTTTCAATGGAACTTCACTGCAAGACATTTCATCATGGATGCTGTATGTTGAATTTTGTTTTGAAGTGTTGCTCCTCAGACATCTCTCATTTACAGTTTGAATATCTAAGAAACTTCATTATCAGAAATCAGCCTTGTTTCCTGTCCCATCTTATGTGCAGTAAATTGTTTTTGAACACAAGCTATTTTTTTACATTATCACTTCTAATTTAATCAACAACAATCTGATTCTGTGAAGTAGCTGATAATTTTTCCTAAAACTTTCGTGACATTCTGCGTATTGAATGACTGATCAAGAAAAAAACAAAAAAATCCCTTTAGGTAACTTATGAGAAGGTATAAGAATTTGACTATTCATCTCAATATCTAAGTTTATTTTTTTAGGCAATTACTTATTTTATAATGTGATTTTCATAAATCATCAAAACCTTTTTTATATGATTTTTATGAATCATCAAAATCATCAAACAAAACTTCTTGCTATTCATTGAAATACAGGGATTTTAGACTGACCTTTTTTTGTGATTTTGATCAGTATTGTCATCTGAAACAGTTGGTAGTAGGTTAAGGGTTAATGATTGGACTTGATGGTCTTAATGGCCTTTTCCAACCTAAATGAGTCTGTGATTCTGTGGTCATTTACATCAAGATGTTCCACTGTGTTCATAATTTAACTTTATATAGAGCATATAAAGATTTTGTAGGCTTAAGACAAAGAGGCATCAAATTCAAATGTGCATAAAGAATTTAAAATGGATGGCATTGCCTCAATTTTTCAACACTGTTTTTATCCCTTTGGTATCCCTAAATTAAGAGTGAACTGAAAATTCAAAGTCTGGGTCCCCATTTGTCTACACATAGGATTACTGTGAGCATCTGAGATTTGTTCAGTAGAAATACTAAATATACTCTGTGAGAGTGAGCTTGGTCCTGTAATTCTAAACTAATGCTTTCTATTAAGTGGATCTTCAAGGCAGAGGTAAACAGGCTCCTGGGGGGCTTCTGTGTGTTCAATTCTAAACATAGGAGATGTTTTTCACACACCAAGCAAATGCAGTTGGTATCTGAGAAATGCAATTCAGCTACATCTGGATAAAGTTAAAAAGCACCTGAGCAAACAATCTGTTTTTTAGATGAAGTATGTAGGTCATATTCTCACATTTAATACAGTCTATACTCAAGGCATCCAATTTTCTTCTATTGCTTTACCCTTAATGGATATTCTCAACCGCATAAATTTATTTCTAGTGGAGGGAGGCAGTGCTAGCTCTCAGTAGTTTAGGTCTCTGCAGGCTTATGATACAGGGGGACAGTTTTTACATGAACTAATAATAAGAACTGATTTACACTCACATGGGTTATAGAGTCATACAGTCACACCTTCTCTTTTCTGCTTCCAGTAATGACAAATGTTGACTTATCTGCAAGCTTCACAAAAGCAATAAGATTTCATATGGGATTATGGTGAGGTAAGGGTTCAAGTCTCATCTAGTTCAGAGAAGTGGCCACAGCACCAATACTTTTCAACCTCTTTCCTTCTCCCTGGGCTGGGACGCAGGTGGTGACGGTAAAATTTACTGCGAAGTTGCCTGGAACAAGGTCTAGGAACAGTCTCTGTGGGCCAATATTTCTCCTGCAGGGTCTACACTGGAGTTCAGGCCCTTTTTCCTGGCTTTTTCCTGGGTTTTGCTCTATGGTTCCCATGCTGTACTTAAGTGGCCTGGATGCCCCGCATGTTGTTCATCCCTATGACCCTCCCCAGCCAACCCAGGACCTTTTGTGACCTAGTTTCACTCACTGATCTCTCCCTGACCTTCTTGCTTAAGCACTTGGGACCATAGCTCTGTTTGGTGAGATCCCTGTCCTGTCTGTCATGCTGTCACCTGTGCTCCCAGGACACCTTCCTCATGTACTTGGCCATCCTCATAACTTCCTGGCACCATGTAATATCATACCGATACAACAGAGAGAAAGAAGTGCAATTCAGTCC